ATTGCAGCAATGTCAATATTGGGACGATTTAGTTCATAGCTAATTGTGGGCTGTGGCCGTTTTGCAAAGTTTACCGATCTTTTTTTTGAGCCGATGAGCAGAAACCCTCGGAGATCCGACTGGGGGAATACCTATTGTACCTCTGACCGTTTTTGATCTACTAAAACAATCTATCTTGTGTATCAGCAGATGCGTGTGTATATAGCCAAGAGTAGCACGCTCTTCTCTCAGCTTTGGCTATACGCCGTGACGCTTGGTGTATTCGCATCACTGGCGGAATCGGCAAAAAGCAGAATAAAATTGAAAACTCCTCTTGAAAACTAAACGTAAACAACACAAACTTTCATTTAACTGTCAACCAAAATCAAAAAATACCCTGTCAACTATCATTTTGTCAAATGTCAAGCACGAATACACGCACTCTGATTGGTTGGGAGCATAGCAATCCGACAACATTGCATAGCGTTCGGAAAATTTTCCGGAAGCCCTTCGATTCCTATCAAACCGAACGAAATGGTTCCCGAAAAGCCATACTGAATTGCAAAGTACGCTATCGAACCGAATGTTCGATAAGTACGCCGTTCGATAGTGTACCGAACCGGTCTACAAAAAATAAATACAGAATAAGGCCGGGTGGAGTGACTTTCACCCCACTTTTTTAGATAGAGAAGGATTTTGATTCTCTCTCAGTCTCGTCACAACTGCCTATTTTTTTTGAAAATCACATGATTAGTTCTCAAGATAATCACTGTCAAATTTGGGGATAAATAAGAAACAATCTTCTGGCCATGTTATTCTCGAATTAACACTTTCCTCTCGGACATGTCAATTTCCATTTTTTGTGTGCTTCTGAAAAAATAAAAATTGGCCGTATCCCCACAATTCATTAATTTATTATCCTAAATCGAGCCATGAAATTTCTTGATCTATAGATTTAGAAAAATACATAAAATGGTTTTAAAATGAGTATTTTATATTTTTATTTCCAAATACCCCTATTCTAATATTCTATTCTATTCTCCCCTGGGGTGTGCGGACACCTGCACTGGAGCTCGTGTGCCCCCCCCCCCCCCCCTGAAGTTTGTCATGTCAGGTCCACTCCCTTATTAGTAAAACCTAGGATGTCCCTGATATTCGCTTTCGCGATTTCCTTTGGTTTCGTTTCGGATACTGTAGGCGAGTTCGGTTGATCCACTGCGAGTTAAAAGATGACACTGTTGACAGAAGCTCACGTGATCTTTCATTTGAAGTAATAGAACTGATCACGTGGGGTCATCATCTTTTCGCTCGCGGAGGATTAACCGAACTCGCCTTGTGTCCCAAAGTGCCGCTGTCGCTGTCTTTGCCATCTAAGGTTAGGACATTGGCATCAATGAACTATAGCTAAAAACTGGAATGCGCACACATTGCCATATCTGCCAAAAAAATGAAGCCATGAAAGACAGATGCCACAAGGGGGAATGCTGTTTTTTTCTGTTGCTCGCTGACATATGACGTTTTCGAAAGTTTTGTCATATTTCCCTTCACAGGTTTCATCAATTGGAATACGTGTTGGAAGCAATTTTCGCCATTTAACATAATGAGTGCGACAAAAACAGGTATCCCCTCCGCAGCAGCCGCACTAGGCTACACGTTCGTCCTTATGTGTTCGCATTCCAGTTTTTGGTTATAGTTCATTGATTGGCATAGTTCATGTCAATGAACTATAGCTAAAAACTGGAATGCGCACACATTGCCATATCTGCCAAAAAAATGAAGCCATGAAAGACAGATGCCACAAGGGGAAATGTTGTTTTTTTTTCTGTTGCTCGCTGACATATGACGTTTTCGAAAGTTTTGTCATATTTCCCTTCACAGGTTTCATCAATTGGAATACGTGTTGGAAGCAATTTTCGCCATTTAACATAATGAGTGCGACAAAAACAGGTATCCCCTCCGCAGCAGCCGCACTAGGCTTCAAGTTCGTCCTTATGTGTTAGCATTCCAGTTTTTGGTTATAGTTCATTGGTTCATGTAGGGGTGTTTCATCTTCCTCTGCACACCTTTCGCACAAGCTTCATTGTGTTTAGGTGTTTTCTGGGAGGGCAGTGTTCTGTCAACAATCCAACCACATCTCTTAATTGTCTCCTGCTTAAGTTAAGCTGTTCTGTTCTTAGATGGCCCTTCCATGAAGAGTTTGAACTGCTTGAGTCCAGAAAGATCCATCCAGAGTTTTTTGTGTTACCCCTATGAAATAATACCGAAAAAAATTGGGACTAGTAGGGTTTGAAGCTGCGTGACCTTGAACTTGAAACAAAAATTGGCTGCGGCGCGATCCATTCACAGCCCCCAAAATCAAATACTGATCTGGCCATAGAGATCTGGCAGTCCGGGCCGGTGTCAACGGCTTCCCGGGCCGGTTTTATGCTCCCCATCCGCCCCTGGGTCTGATACCCCAAAGGTCATTCGAAAAATCTCTCAATATCGTTCACAACAATCAAATGAAATAATTAGTTTTTGGTAGTTTTTGAATGGGTATTTTGTTTTGAATCTTTTTTTTTAAGTTTATTGTCTCATTTTTTATTTTTGTAAATTTTCTCCCTCGTAGAAAAAAGACTGTTCCTGACTCTTGCGCAAAGTGTCTTGTTCGCACTCGACTGCTGCCCGAACTCCGCTCCGCGTCGTTCGGTCAACTGCAGTCAGCGTGCGAACAAGACTTACTTTGCGCACTTGTTAGGAAATATACTATTTTTTTATTGATAACCTATTTCACTTATTTAAAGTACTCCTCAGCGTTTTTAAATCCAACATTCAAAAACGCGCGTGTTTTAAAGTTACCAATGACAACATCAACAACCAACAACCCGAGAAAGGTCTAAATGTCAACTTTTTAATTATTGATTTGTCAGGAGTAGGTTAGGTACTTGTAGATAACGTCAAATAAAATGTAACAAGTGTCAAGCACAAATTTAGCATTCTACAATTATTACTAATTTATCATTAAAACGTATAGCAATAGAAAAAAATAGTGTAAAGTATTCGTGGATAACTGGTCTTTAAAACACTTGCTCTATTTCGAGCACTCGGCTGCGCCGTCGTGCTCGAAAAATCGCGCGTGTTTTAAAGACCTTAATATCCACTTATACTTTAATATACCATTAACTGGGAGAAAATTGTTTCAACATCTCAGCATTTTGATACAACTTCAAAAATTGTTAAATATTATTATACCAACCGAGATTTTCTGCCATTCACTTATTGATGTATTACATCGTAAATGTAATATAAATTTAATTTGGCAGACGGGAGGTCGTTGATCCACATGTCCGATTTTGGCGACTTTTGAAATTAGTAATATGACACTTTATACTCACCTTGGGTTTCCGCCGTTTAGCTTCCTTTTACTCATTTTTGTTTAAATTACCTTCACAACGTGTGGCAGACGGGTTAATATTGATCCAAATCTCCACTTTTCATTAAATTTTCAAATTAGCATAGCATTGTATTGTCACACGCGGGGCTCTTTGAAATTTCAGCCATTCCACTTCTTATTGCATATGGAATAACCACCCTCAATGGCAGACGGGAGAAAATCGTTTCCAAAAAATGGTCGTTATGCACCAGTCTATAATCAGAGGTTGTGCGAGACACTACCGAATGTTTTGGCTACATTTGTGTAAATTGCATCCACCTATGTCCTGCTTGCATTCAGGCAATAAGAAACTGATATTCGCCAAGATTTGTTGCAGGTTGCAGTGGAGTGTCCTTCAAAAAACTCGTGCTACCCATACTACAAATGCTTCGCTTGCATGTCTGGAGAGGCCATTGTTCAAAATAGATTTCATTCGCTTGGGTACGATTGACAACAGTGCGATTCCTCTGAAGTTTTCTCAATGATATTTCTGGCTGTAGATTCCGAAATCGAAAATATTTTGGAATGTTCCATGTTGAGGAAAAAAAAATAGAATCCATAGATAAGGAAAAGAGCACGAAAAACATGAGCAACCGAAGCACTGCAATGTTTTATCGGGGGCTGGACCTTTACTGGTATCCAGAGCTATTAATCGCGATAGTATCTCTTGGTTTATGATGGGCAAAGCGTTGATAATGAACTTCGCCTAAGTGATCATCATGGTCTGTGTGAAAAGGCTGATAGTGGTTTGAGAAATTTTTCAATTATTATCTCTGTTGTTTCTGAATAAGAAGCTACTTTCATTATCCTTGGCAGTTTTTTGTTATGTCCAAGTGACTTAGCAAATGACCCGAGCTCCATCAAGTGTTACCTGGAATAGCAATTTCGACGAAATTCTATTTATTCTCTTGCCTTATCTTCAGTAGTTTTTGAAGTCTAACAAAAGTTCTTCAGTTCTTCATAAGTAGTTTTTGAAGTCTAACAAAAGTTCATCAGTTCTTCATAATTTCTCCCACATTCCGTTTTTCTTGAGAATCCGTCCTCAATAAAACCTTTTACTTTTTTTTAGAGACCTGAGTCTCTTATCATTCTATAAATTGTTGTAGTTTGTGGAATGGATATGAGAGAAATTCGAGTCAACTCCAAAACGATAATATTTCTAAGCGACATAGTCCCTAATCACCTCTCAGGTTAGAAGGCTCAACCATCGAAGTGACGAGCATGACAGAAGGATTGTGCATATTAATTGAACACGAACACAGCTAGTTTTCAGCTTTAGATACTCTGGATTCTAGATGTCCCAAATTCATCACATATAACTAGGTCGAGCAATTTTATCAGACTGGCTTTTGATATGGGAAGCTCCACTAAGCAGACATCATTCAGTTTTCCTGTTCTTTTCAAGTCCCTTCGTTCCAGGGAAGTTTATATCACCAAATTTTTCTGTCATAATGACATGTTTGGATCTCAAGCACTGTAGTTTTTGTGCGAAAACTTTGTAGATTCTGATAGTAGTGGATACTTGATGCTACGTTCGATTTTTTAGGCATTTCAGGAATTTGGATGATGAATCATTGTCACGATTTGGCGACATCAGGGACCGGGGACTCTAAACATACGTTTGAATCCAATCTGAAAATTGACAATCAGGAAATATTTTTCTATATCTAGCAAGACACATGCAAATGATGAAAATATGTGAGGTCATAGGAATTAACTCTACAAACATTCAACAAAACTATTCAACTCCTTTAAAGATTCCAAAATACTTACCCAATGATGCTTTAGCTTCGTTATTGCACTCCAAAGCATGGTCAAAATCTTTCTTGTAATAATTTACAATCGCCAACAAATACTGAACATATCCATAATTATTTGGCTCTAAAATTTCTGCCAATGCCATCTCCACCCAAGAAAAGAGCCTCATTTTCAGTAAGAGCACAGCCGCATTAAAAAAGAAGGACTTCGGAATATTTTGCCAGCTCCATGCCAAATCTTCAAAAGTCTCGAAATGTTCTTTATCACTGCAATATCCTTTGACTAACTTCTTTCCCATATCCAAGGCCATTTCCATACCATCAGGCCTGTCACATTTTTTGTAAAAACAGTACAAAATGCACCAACCTGCAACCCAATACGGGTCTAGAATTAACGTATTTAGAAAACACGTTTCTGCATCTTGTCTATTATCTTTTTCGGCTAATAAAACACCGAGAAGTAATAATGTATATTTGCAGGTGCAATTTAAAGCTATGGCTTCTCTAACGCATCGAAATGCTTCTTCAACATTATTAATTTCAATGTTGTATATGGCAAAATGAAACCAAAAAGTTGCATTTTCTTTGGTATCGTTACTAACAATAATTCTATCCATGAAATATCTTTCGGCTAATTTATACAATTTCAATTCTGCTGCTTCTTTAGCATAGAAAAAACTTAAATCCCATGAAATTATACGGTCGACTTTTTTAGCTCTCATTTCATTACAAACCATGACATTTAAAGTATTATGCAATTTTTCTATTAATTCTGCATAAAGTTCCGATAAAAGATTATGATAATTTCCATGGTGGTACTTGAAATAATATTCAATGCATTTATATTTAGTGGTCATTAAGTAAATTACCGAAGTAATAATGGAATTAGTATAACTTTTATAAGCACCAACTCTAACTAAATATTCCACAAAATTCATTTTAAACTCTGGCACTGGAATTGTTGTTATAACTCGATTATATTCCAACCATTGTTGATTAAGATTATCAAGAATTTCTTTTATTGTATAATCGTAACGTTCATCAGCTGGATCTTGGCTCAAAATGCTTCTTGATGATTGTAGAGCATCTAGCTGTAAACTGTGAAGATTCGTTTTTAATTCGTCAATGTCGATTTTCGGATTCAAAGGATTCAATAGTTCGATTTCAATTATAATAAAGCATGGTTTTCCAGCTTCATCATAAACTTGTTCGCATATTTTTTGTGTAGGTTCTTCAAGGTTAGCTGATTGTTGACTATCTAAACTTTTAGTGTCTTTTTTGCTGGGAGTTTTTTCTTTTTTCTCCGGACTCTTTTTATTTTTCTTAGACACATCCACTACTCTGACTTTAAGCGCTTTAACATTTGGCATATCACGGGAAGGTTTTGGTAAAAAAAAAGAACCATGCAAACCTGTCTTGGCAGCTTCTTCATAAGTAAATAGCTTGACAGGGGTGGCTATGCGAAGTCTAGAAAATCCTGGATACAATAAAGCTGCAACGTCTATCACGGCCATTAAATGCAAGTGTGGAGAATTTTTTGTACTTCTAATAGAACTTCGATCTAAATGTTCATCGAAAGTTTTATCCTTTCTACTTGCGGGTGTCAAAAAAATTTCTAACGCAATTTCTCTGTGAGTTGATATGTGTGCTGCAAGCTCACTTTTGCCACTTTTGTATAAGACATTCCTTTTCAGATAGTTGTACTCGATTCTTGAAGCACCTTCCTTGAAAGCTTCTTTGATGTTAAAATTATCTTTATTGGTAATTTCTTCATAACTGTCAGCAATGAAATATTTGGTTGTATTAGCGTTAAAGGCAACATCATGTAGACCAGGCCAACGTTTTGGTTCCAACCCACTAAAAGGTTCTCTAGTGGTAATTTTGGGGTTATGGAATATTGTAGGAGTAGCAGCCGAATTGTGCAGTGGTAACATTACACAAATTGTACAATCCATTTGTTCCAGCATTAAAGAAGGAACATTGCAAATTGATTCAACAGTGAAATATAAAATGTTTGTTATGTTGATAAGCTTGGCATTGTCTTTTGTAGCTATTGTAATAGAAATTTCTGGTTGATTTTTGGGAGTGCTAGTGGGTTGGTTTATAGGTTTTATAATTAGAGTTTCTGAGAATGAAGTTTCTCCATGAAAAAGTGGAATTAAATCAATAACGCATAAGCCGTACATTTCTGTTTTTATGATTGGTATATCGGGTATGTTCTCTGATGGTTCCGTTTTTTTTGACGTTTTTGTTGTTTTCGAGTCTTTACTTGCTGCTGATTTCGATATTTCTTCGTCAGCCTTTCGATCTTCATCTTTCTTACCAATCTTACCTATGAAAATGTAATTAAAAATAGAATAGTATCATCAAATTATGATGCATTGGTATGTCGATGCAAAAGCAAGAGCTTATCGAGGACCAAGATCAGAGGTATATTTCATGAAAATCCATACCTTTGAGAGTTTTATAGGGAGTACAAACAAGTATTTAAATGTTCCCCTTTGAAAAACTGGTATAGACTGAATCATGCAAAATTACGCGCAGGGCGGCACAAATGTCCCAAAAATATAAGTTTTCCTGTAAACATTCGTTGTGTGATAAACGGTAATACCTTAATGGGGTTACCAGTGTTTTTGTTGGCGGAGGGGGGGGGGATTCACAGGGGCTGTTTTCGCCATGGGATATTTACTGATTTTCTGAAAATCCTTGAAAAACTCCTCATTGGCAAATTAGCATAGCCGTGCGTCCTAGCTCATCTTTCGAAACTTTCGACAAATATGCAGGGTGAAGGTACAGGGTGTTTTTTTATGTATTGACACCCTACCTATACAGTCTTTATCTTTACAGGTAGAAGAAATGTATAAATACAAAAGTTCTACAGTTTTGGCTAAATTTTCAGAATCCATGGTCAGAAACACAAATTGCTTGTCAGACAGGTGAAATGTTGCATGCTTTCAGCTTTTTTCAAATGGGATGCCCTTCGGTTTGGTCTATATTCTTGAAGAGTACAATTTCTCGATTCCAAAAATATATAGTTTGTCTATATTTGGTTCTACAAATTTTAAAAATACTATCAGAGAAACACTCTCCTCGAGTACCTACCTCAAATTTCACCTGCAGCTTTCACCTGCACAGGTAGAATGGTTGATAATAGTTATTTATGTATCAAGGGAATTATGAGGGTATAAATACCCCAGGGCAAAGTTTGTGTCCCGAGGGCCTCTGGCCCGAGGGACACCAATTGCCCGTGGGTATTAACACCTGATAATTCCCGTGGTACATAGATAATTTTATATCCTACTGAATTTACTGTATTCTGTCTATTTTTATAAAGGAATAAACCATAAATCAAAGTTTCTACTTTTTCTCAAAGTTTTACCTATTCAAGGTAAAAGCGGAAGTTATGGAAATCCTTAACTCCCTTGGGAGTTAAGACCCTGTTTATGATTATCGTAACCAAGGTATTGAATGGTTATAATAGTTCAGTAGGATATAAAATCAGTTAGTATATCCTGTTCAGAATCCGATGTAAATTTATCACTTTTCCCCCTATCAAATAGCATTGAAAGGTGATAAATTTTACCTGTACCTGTGGACATCGGATTGTGAACCGATAATAGGATAGTATTTTCACAAATTTTGGAGCCGAATATACCTATAAGAGACTGAACTTCGTTGACCAGTCAGAAACAACTACTCCGAGGGCAAATACCCCTACCGGCGTTGAACTACACTGATTGGTCTGAGCTTTCGTTGGCAATGAAAATTGTTAGAAAGATTTTTTCAGGTAATGACCAACGTGAATACAGGGACACAACGGTCCCTGTTTGGGAATCAATCCACTGAGCAGTGGACCCAGACTTCCCGACATAGGCTGAAGCTCCCTGTCGAAGCTTGGACAGGGAGCTTCTTCTGATGAGAAGAAGCTCCCTGCAGCAGAAGGACATAGGTTGAAGCTCCCTGTCCAAGCTTGGACAGGGAGCTTCTTCTGATGAGTCTTAACAAGGAGGAAACGCGTCAAGGATTAGCACGGGAAGTCTGGGTCCACTGCTCAGTGGGTCAATTTCGAAACAGGGACCGTTGTGTCCCTGTATTCACGTTGGTCATTACCTGAAAAAATCTCTCTAACAATTTTCATTGCCAACGAAAGCTCAGACCAATCAGTGTAGTTCTGCCCTCGGAGTAGTTGTTTCTGACTGGTCAACGAAGTTCAATTTTGCTTGGACAGGGAGCTTCAGCCTATGTCATTATGATGAGTCCTAACAAGGACGAAACGCGTCAAGGATTGGCACGGAAAGTCTGGGTCCACTGCTCAGTGGGTCGATTCCCAAACAGGGACCGTTGTGTCCCTGATATATTCACGTTGGTCATTACCTGAAAAAATCTTTCTAACAATTTTCATTGCCAACGAAAGCTCAGACCAATCAGTGTAATTCAACGCTGGTAAGGGTATTTGCCCTCGGAGTAGTTGTTTCTGACTGGTCAACGAAGTTCAATTTTGCTTGGACAGGGAGCTTCAGCCTATGTCCTTCTGATGAGTACTAACAAGGACGAAACGCGTCAAGGATTGGCACGGGACGTCTGGGTCCATTGCTCAGTGGGTCGATTCCCAAACAGGGACCGTAGTGTCCCTGTATTCACGTTGGTCATTACCTAAAAAAAATCTTTCTAACATATAAGAGACTGCTCAATCAAATATAGGTATATTTTTGGAATCGGGGCATTGTGCATGCTCTTCAAGAATATAGAAGCAAATATAGGGCATCCCATTTAAAAAAAGCTGAAAGCATGCAAAATTTTACATTTCTGATTTTCAATTCTAAAAATTTAGCCAAAACTGTAAAACTTTTGTATTTACACCTTTCTTCTACTTGTAAAAGTAAAGGCTGTACCTGGGGTGTCAATATATGAAAAAACACCCTGAATATCTATTATTCACGCTAAGTACCTGTACCGGTTAACAAGTTGTCGAATTGAGGACGAAACACATCTATCATGCATTCTTCCGATCCGACTCCGATCATACAATCAGGTTCCTTATTCTTGGAACAGGGGAGCAGCGTTTCCAGGGTTCCCTCTGTTCCAAGAATAAGGACCCTGATTGTATGATCGGAGTCGGATCGGAAAAATGCATGATAGATGTGTCCCGGCCTTTAGACCTGGGCCCGGATTCCGAACTTCGCCTCTTAAGCTATGTCCACACCGAAAGCAACATATAGGAATATTGTGTTTATGTTACTTATTTTCCTGGAACATGTTGCTGCGTATGTTTCCAAAAGTTTATTCAAATTACTTATGTTTTAGGGTTGCAGCAGCAAAAGTTCCTATAAGTTTCTTGTTTTTATGTTTAGCGACAAATAAAAAAGGAAATATAGGAACATTGGTAACCATTTTGTATTTCTCAACTCAGTGTGGACACGTTGTTGTTCGTTCCCAAAACTCGAAAACTCAGCCCCTGTGTGTGTGTGAATCTTCATCGCATCACATTGTTTCGACACTAGGATTACACACACATTGCTGGTGTAGACACAGCTTTTATTGTTATAGCAAGACAACGAAGGAGTACGGTTCTGCGCATCAACGATAATCGTAGTATGTGGAGTGTCCTTACAGAAGTGAAATTAAACCGTTTAGATATCATAATAAAATACCGTAAAGTTGAAAACTAACACTACAGTAGTATTACCACACATTAAAAACTGTGAGTAGATACCATAGTTTTAGTAATTTCTGGCCTAAAAATAAATATAACAACAACCACGAACAAAGTTGGTGCGCGCGCCAACAAACAAACAAAGACGTTAGAACACCGAACTCACCGCGGTCTCCAAGCGTCATGCTACTGCCAAGACAGGACCTGAGTAAGAATTTCTCCATGCTTTCAGCAAATAGTTTTCGTCAAAATGGATGAGTTGAATGGCAATGGCTCTGGGAACAGAAACAAAAACCAAGGTCTCACTGACATCCCAACCCCATCACAAAACCACCTCTCGCGCCAAAAAACCTATTCCGATGCTTTATCTCACCTCAACTTTCCTTCCAAAGAGCAAGCAATTCTGTTTAGTGCCCTAAAAGAATCTTCACTACAAGAATATATCTTCGCCCAAGGTTCCTTGGTTGGACAAAAAACATGTAAATAATATGTTGTCAAGAATCTCAAATAATTGGATCTGCATATATTTAACAAACAAAACAAAGGTAAGGTCCGTTTCACCAGGGTTCATACTTGACCTTGAAACTTGAAAAAAAAGGGTTGTCGTAGATTGATTCATATGACACATGCAAATTTTTTGACAAATTAAAATGAATGACTTTTGGTTAAGAACCGACAAACGTTTTTGACGTCATTGATTTATTTGTTAAACAAGGAAGGTAAATCCTGGTGGCAAGTACAAACCCTGGCGAAACAAACTTTAGATGACTTTCTCTCCCACAACATGGAGCAATAATCGTTAAAGGACAAAAACTGGAAGCCCGCAGACTTGTTCCACCAGCACAGCGCCTGCTACTTTCAAATGTACGCACTCTTAGAGGCTGATCTCAAGAAAATAGGCCTTAAATTAGTCTCGGCAATCACTTTTTTGAGAATTGGCGTGACAAATCCTGAATACAACCACATTATTAAGTTTTCGTAGACAAGTCTATATACACCCCTCTGAAAGTATAGAAGTACCAAGCTCTCTAGTTATTTCACATGATAACACCTCCTATCGCATATTTCTTTCCCAGGATGAAATGTCCTGTTTCGAGTGCAAACAGATGGGACATATTGCATTGCAATGCCCTTATCGTAATGAAATTGACCCAACATCATCAAGTAACACTTCACCGCCTAAATACTCCAACAGAAACTAACAAGGCCACCACTCAACCTAGCATGGACACGAATACTTCAAATCATGAGACAGAACCGGCAAATTCCGAACCTCACCAGAACAAACGAATCGTCACAGAAATACCAACCAATGCCAACCAGAAGTAAAGAAAACACCAGATGAATTCATTAAACCAATAATTGCACAATCACAGAAAAAAAAACAAATTAACGAAAGAACTACACCAACAATTATGCGAGCAACTGGAACCTGTCAAGCAATTTATCCAAGGCTCAACTGACGTGATCAACGTCGCTCTAAATTACACAAAGAATTTGAAGGGCTTGACAGCTATGGTCAATGCATTATACCCAAAAATTACGTCATAAAACACGGTTCACAAAACTTAAACGAAAAATCGGGCTCCACCTCAACTTGCAATGGTCAGAACCAGAAAGTGACTCATCCCAGGACAATACATACTAAACATTTTCAACACATTATGAAAGCAGCTTCTTTCCCAATTTTACAGTGGAACATAGATGGCAACAGATCTCATCTTGAAATGTTACAACTAAGTAAATAGGTACTTATTCACGACAAAAATCCTGCAGTAATGGCATTGCAGGAAACCCACTTCTAAAATGGAATAACAAATTGCCCTGGTAACTTTTTTAGGTTTTTATTACAACAGAATGAACGCAGAAAAAGCCAGCGGAGGGAGGAGTGGCATATTCACCTAAGATTTCTGAAATTCCAATCACATCAAAGCTAGAAGTTGTCGGAGTATCAATAAATTTCCCACAAAAAATGTCAATATACAATCTATACATACCACCAGACAGAGAGTTTAAGAAAAATGAAATCGACGCGTTATTTCAACAGATCCCATGCCTGCCACAATCTGATATGGAGTAGCAAAACTAATAATAAAAAAGGCAAAATACTGGACGAATCCATACAACTAGCTAACCTAATACTACTCAACACAGGAGCCCCTACCCGATCTAATTCCTATACTGGCGAATTCCCTGTTCTTTACCTTTCTCTTTGCGATCCCACAACAGCAATAACAATGAACTGTCAAGTGTTACCGTCACTTTATGGCAGTGACCATTTTCCAATAAAAATAACATCAGACGACCACCAAAAAAATACTGGCAAAGAAACTACACCCTTCAATAAATGGGAACTTAGAAAACGCGAACTTAGAACTTTATAAGGATATAATCCAAAACTTGAAAAATGAACTAAAACTACACGATAACATTGACAACAATGAACAACTTTATTGAAATTATCCATAACGCAGGTAACCGGGCAATAGACCGATCTCCTATTACCTGGACTGCGCGCGTCGCTTGTAGGCTGCAGGTGAGCATCCAATGAGAAGCAAGTTTGTGACAGGCTTGCGTCATATTCTTATTCAGGGGCCAGTTCAGAATGAATCGTTCCTTCTTTCTTTGTGACGTGTAATTTGACAAAGAGCAAACTAATACTTTACATATTAGTTGAACTCACCGCAGTTTCGTTTAAGGTTATGTTAGATTATACTTGACATATTCCTTTGCAATTTCATTGAGCAATGTTGCCGGATGAAACGTTTATCAAAATAAAAGTGCAAACGATATTCATCCACTTTAAAGCTCTTCTTTTGTGTGATTTAAGGCGTTGTAAAACATTTGACATTATATCACTTTTTTAATGTTATAATGTTCGATTTGTATTGTCTACATTTGTTCTGCAACAATACAATTTGGATACACTGCAGCCTACCAGTTGCGCGCGCATGGCATCTTTTATTGCTTTCTAACTTGTATTTATTACAATTAAGCTCTCTTTTTCTAATCAGGCGAGATAGATCTATTGGAAAATCATCAAACAGATTGGACCGAAACAAAATCCCCGGCGTACCTTGGTGGAACCAATCATGCAAAATTGCAATTCACGAAAGCAAACACGCATTCAACAGATATAAAAAACACAAAACACAAGAAAACTTATTGATTTTTAAACAACTTAGGGCAAAAGCCCGGATTATTACAAAAAAGACTAAAAGGGAATCTTGGTGCCAGTGCATATCTACCATAACGCAAAACACCCCAGCTGCCGAACTATGGAAAAAGATCAAAAATATATATGGGAAAAATACATATTCTCCCATATTATATTTAAAAAACAATAATAACATCGCAGAAGAAAACCAAGACGTTGCCAATGTCCTAAGCAAAACATACGAAACCTTCTGCAGCAACCACAACTATGACCCCCAATTTCTACAATACAAGTTAAATCTAGAAACAAACTCTCCCATTAACATACACGAACAGGAGAGCCCATTCAATCTACTCATCACGATGGGTCTAAGGAACTCAAGCCAAGGCCCCGAACCAGAAGCTAAGAAGACCTAGAATTTGTCAACAACATAAAATTGTTGGGACTTATCTTCGACAGAAAACTATCCTGGGTCCCACACATCAAGAAACGAGTCGCAGATTGCCAAAAAGGCCTTAACTTAATGAAAATACTATCAAACAAGTATTGGGGCGCAAGCACTTCCTCCTTGCTGAAAATCTACAGAGCAACCATAAGGGCAAAATTTGACTACGGATGCATAGTCTATAACTCAGCAACAAAATCCACCTTATCACTTTTAGACAAGCTCCACAATTCAGGAATACGCATAGCCTTGGGCGCTTTTCACACAAGCCCGACTGAAAGTCTGCTTTGTGAGATCAGTGAGCCGCCATTGGAACTCCGAAGAATAAAGCTATCCATCTGTTATGCAACAAGAATTGCTCAGTTTTCTCGTGCTCGTCATCTCACATACAGCAATGTATTTTCAAAAAAATATAAAAGAATCTACGACACCAAACCAAACCTCGAACAAAACCAGCCTTCTACGAGAGACTTAATCGGTACTGCAACAATCTGAACCTGGAATTCTCAAAGCTGGCCCCAAGTAACATTACTCTAGAAGCACCATGTACCCTTAATAAACTGAGTGTTGACATAATCCTAACTAGATACGACAAAAATAACACAAACAAAGCTGTAATACACACACAACTACACCAAATCATGGACAAATTCCGGTATGGCACAAAAATTTACACTGATGTCTCTAGAACAAATGATGGCACTGGTGCGGCTGTAGTGACAGACACAATAAAGTTCAAATACAAGCTGCATCCAATAACATCCACATATCATACTGGCGAACTATTTCCGATATCCGAAGCACTTAAACACATACTGCAAAGCCCACCACAAAAACATGTAATTCTCAATGACTTCCTCAGCTCGATAAACGCAATAACCAACATGTATCCAAGTGATAATCTAGAAGCCTCAATCAAAAAGTCTCTTCTCGATATCCAGAACGATGAGAAGACTGTAGCCTTCATTTGGGTCCCATCACATGTAGGAATTCCAGGAAATGAGGCAGCCGATTTTTTTGCAAGAGAAACAATAACCGACGTATCCATCATTCAGTCAGGACCAACCCCCAGTGACTTTAAGTGCCACGCGAAATCTCTGGTGCGCGACTTATGACAAACAAATTGGAATATCTCAAACACCAAACTGCATGAAGTGAAATTCCTAGTTACAGCACATAAAACGTGGACCGCCAGTAGACCAGTAGAGACTGACATCACGAGACTGAGAATCGGCCACACACGTCTGACCCCTATGAACATCTCCTTAATAAAACGGAGATACCGAGATGTACTACCTGTGACTGTGAAACACTTTCTGGTAGAGTGCACAATATTCGCTCCTCAAACAATTAGATAGACATCAAATCGGCAACACTTTGAGAGATATATTGGAAACCAACCTGAATACAACAAATTTATTTAATTTTCTTAAAGATTGTGACTTACATAGCAAAATGTATTGAAACACTGTTAGTCCAAGAGCCCAGAGCCGCCAGACACAACTTATTTTCTAAAGGACAGAATATGTGGGATTGTGTAGCACTTATACTACGTAGTACTATGAACGTATGTATATCCGCTAAGTTGGGTAGAAGGCCAATTAACCGACACCAGGTGCGAAAGCTTAAAAAGTACTTTAACTTTTTTTCTAACGCTTGATTTTTATACATGTTATTGGGGAGACTATTTCATAACTACGTGTGCTCAGCCAGACCAATCGCACCGGCCAAACATCCCCCCAGACGCAATAATAGTTTTTCCGTGAGTGTGAGCGCGAGGGTACTATGCATGCGTTTGAGAGTGAGCGAGATATCTATTTCCCCCTCTTAAACTTACAGTCTACTCCAGGCTAGAGTAGAAATGGGATTAGGTTTTTCCCATAATGGGAAAAACCGTTATTTACAAATAACAGTCAACTGGCCGTCTACCCAACTTAACGAGTATACATACGTTCATAGTACCTATAAGTGCTACTCAATCCCACATATTCTGTCCTTTAGAAAATAAGTTGTGTCTGGCGGCTCTGGGCTCTTGAACTATGTATCCAGGTGCTAATAATCCTATGTGGTTGATACACCTTAGCTATTCTAAATAAAAAAAAAAACAACGAAACATTCAAAAAAATGAGTAGTAATGGTGTGGACAGAATGCGGAACTTTTGCTGTTGTTTCTGTTTCCATAAATCGGTTGCGGCAACCAGCAAAAAAATGTTCATATGTGTTTCTTTGGTGTAGACTAAGCTTTATAGTCCAGCAGGCAGTGAAATTTTTTAGCACTTATTTTCCCAGTTGGTGTATATTAAATAGTTTGTTCTCTTGGTGATACAAAACAAGAATATTTGAGTTTCGCAAAAATTTTGGGATGGGTTCACTAGATCAATGAAAAGTACAAGTACACTTATTTTCCCAGCCATACATTTTTCACATTTTTCACTATTTTTTTACGTAACTTCAGTATACTTCCGATTAGTAGACTTATTTTTATCACTGGGGAAAAAAGGGCCGTGCATTCGTAAGCTCTAACGCATTTTGCGCCTCAACCCATCGGAAAATCCTCCCTAGTCTTTGTTTAGATAGAAAAATTAATTCAAATAGTTTTCGACTGCGTGCTATGATAACAGAGCCTAACGATTTTTTTATATATCAGAAAAAACGACCTATTCAGAATACCCATATGGCTATCATCATTAGAACCTATGTATAAGATGAGCAAATAGAGCAATTTATGTTATCTCTTACCTTTCTTCTTCGTTTTCGTATGAGGCAATTGTACTTTGGGCTTCTCTTGGGGCTCTCGCTCTTCACACATCTCATACATACTAAACAAACTATCAATGTCACACAAAGAAACTTTGCTCTCTTCTTCCGATTTCTGAAGATACGAATACATATCAGGCTCAACAGCTCCGGTTAACTGAAAAGCAGTAATAAAAACTGGATTGGAAGCTAGCAAATCCAATTGTTTCATTGAATCTATGTCGATAAGCAATTCGACACTATCTCCAACTTCAAGTGGTAATTTTTCATCGGAAACGACTCGAACTGGACGGCTTTCTCCCAAATCTTGGTTCAAATATTTTAAATGGACTTTTATGTCTGATATTGGATACGTTGGTTTGATATTTTTGAACGAGTTCACGGTTATAATGATAGTGCGTTCGTCGCCTTCATAATCATCTATAACTTTACTTAAAATCTCATGATCCTCGGTGCTTTGTGAGTGGGTTTCTTGGGATATTTTGGAAAGCTTTTTAGTTTTATGGGCTTTTTTTGACATTATAGCTTCACTTACTTGACAATAATTTCCAGTACCAGTAATAAAAATGACAGTGAGAAGGAATTTGCTAATGGTTGTCTATTGGACTCTTTTCCATTTATCCATATTTGCGAATTCATTATCAACTCATCGATATAAAATCTGTTTATTGTATTTTGCAATGCTATCTGTTATACCAGTAGCTTTAAGCTCCTTCTTTGGCCGGTCTTGCTAACATGATGGAAAATTGTCTCAATCCTATTCTCTAGGCATGATATCTAAGTCCATGGTTGGAAGGCCGAACCATATCGTAAGTATCGAATCGTCCAGCATCCAGAAGAGCCCCTCTGGATGCTGGAAAGCCTTCCCGATAAAGGTACTAACGCTGGATGAAAGTTATCTTTTCTCATTTCCTCGAACTTTTTCGAGATACACAATACAGAAGATATCATTGATTCTGCCCGACTGCCCCTAATCAACCCAGCTATTTCTTCTGGTTTCGGTTGTCAAAATTTGAATAATTTCGCATTGGGGATGAAAGTTCGTTAATGGATTTTTGAAATTTATTTCAAAAATCTAAATTCAATTCGAAGAGTAGAATTGAATGGTCTTTTGTTGAAACAAGCTCAAAAATTATTAATGTAAAAAAAAGGAAGCTTCTTATAAAGACATACTTTTCCTAATCTTTTAAACCCTTTCACTTTGCAGACGATAATAGCTTGCTTGACATTTAAAGGGGGCTTAACAATGTAACCCATAATCTCCCATTGAAGAACATCTTGTGCCACACGGTCTCGCTTTATAATAAACGATTTACCAGCCACTTCGGAGGTGTCTTTCTTTAGTAGACTTTTATGGCTGATCTTTTCAAACATGGGACTGAGATTTGAATTAATATTTTTCAAAATAATTAATGTATTTGGAGAACCATTAACGGGGAATATGTAAACAAGGAGAATTTTTTCTTCACATAGACTCGTCAATAGATAATTAAAACAAAGAGCCTTATTTAAAAATCAAATATACTTAGGGAGCAAAGCATTTTTGTTTCTTCAACATTCATATACAATTACATAACGTCAGCAGCCTTTGCTTCTCAAAACAATATAGTAAATTATCTCTATTATTTGAATAAGAAAGCCTAAAACATCCAACCTGTCATGTCCGGTTTCCTTATCAAGACAATATTGACGTGTGAGTGATACTGTTTAAAAAAAAGTCTCACCGAAATAAAAGTTCTCATGAAACTACGTTAGAAAAGGCAACTTTTAAGGTCCGTTATACATCCGTAAATACAAAGATATCATGTTGCAACGAGAATGAAAAGGGTTAACATGGATGAGATTGTGGAGGGTAAAGAATGAGCGAACAAAAATGTCATATAGTAAATGGATAAGACAAAGGAGCTAGTTTAGCAATTTGCTACTGGACTTGGCTATCCCAAAGAGGTTTCAGAGACATTCAAAGTTCCAAACAATGTGATCACACATAAAAAATACATAGAGCCAGGTACCTGTCCGTTTTTTTTTTTAGAATATCTTACTTATTCATATTCCGTAGGTAGGTACTCAAAGTTTTAAATTTATGTTGGTTCAACCAATAGATTCTTAATTATCTTCATTTAAATAATTTCAATTAGGTACTGTAAAAAGACAATTATTGATTTCAGCCCAATTTTAAAATTCCTTCTATGAAAAAGAGAAAACTTCTATCTTTTCAACCACCATATGGTAAACTTCATTGAAGAGAAGAGAGAAGAGAAAATGCATAGATTAATAAAGGAGGTGTGACCCAAATAACAACTTAAGTTACTTAAATCAAGAAAAAAAAATTAAGATATCTCGTGAAAACCGCAGTCTTATATTCAAAATAGTATCCGAGAAAATTCCTCATGAAGATAAATTTTGCGGGAAATTGTGACGTCACACCGGCTAACTGCTGAAATAGTAGCCTTCTGTTTGATAAGTGCCCACATAACAAAATTGCATCCTTAGAATGTATTAGGAATGCTCTTTTTTCAGGAGGAATGTGCCTAGAATGTTCGCCAAAACCATTGCGAATGTCCTGAGAATGTTCTGAGAAAAGATTGTAGAAATACTGTTTGCAATACCCAAGAACTTCCTGGGAAATCCATTAGGATATTCCTAGAATATACCTATGAGATTCTCAGTACGTCCTTAAAAGAATATTCCTGTTTGATTCTAAAAATATGCTCGAAACGTACCTATATTCTCACATTCAAAGAATGTTTCTATGACATTATAGTTATGTTCTCAAAAGAATATTATACCAATATGCTTGAAGTATTCTTAGAATATATCTACATATATCATTCTCAATATGCATATTAGACATTACATTCTTGTTTGATTCTAAGGATATACTTGGAATGTTTATTTTCGCTTCCAAATAATGCTCGTTTCAGCCCTTTTATATTAAAGGCAGTGAAAGAGTTGTTGGAAAACTTCTCTATAAAACACGAGTATTTAACCAAAGCTCCTGTTTCGAGCTTGTTATGCTCTCGTCGAAGCACGCCAACTGAGAGAAACTGGTTCCAAGGTGATTCAAATGCGAGGCAAGATGTAGATCTTTAATAGCGCGTCACTCCCTCTCTTGGAAGTCATACAAAGCAAAAGGAAAAGAATATACCTATAATATTCTTAGTAGGTTTTAAATAGAGCATTATTGTTTAATTATACAATTAAGATTTTTGAGTAGGTACTTTAGATAATTAGATGAACAATATGAAAATATTCTTATCATGGTTACCTACCTACATAAACTTCTCAGCACAACTTGGTAGGTATATTCTTAATACTTGATAGAGATATTAGCTTCTTAAGGGTACATTATAATAATGTTCGTATGAGAATATTCAAATAATGTTATATAAAGTAGGTTCTTAGCACAATCTTTCAGGTAGGTGCATAGAAGCAACATTCCTAGTACATAAATAGAACGTTCAAAAATGAATATTTCAATCGAAACAATCTTAGAATATTCATTGAACATTCCTAAAAGAATATTCCAAAAAGTACTTTGAGGGAATATTCTGAGAATATGAATGTTCTTTCACTGTTATGTGGGTGGTCAGTGAATCGTGTCCTATACTTCAAGGGGTTGCAATTTGCTCTAAGTGAGATCGTTGACTCCCTAACTCGTGAACGGTTCATCGTAGCAACATGCGGATTAAATATTTGCTTTTAGATTTTTTTGCACTAAAACTTTCATTTTTGGGTCACACCCCCTTTAAAAAACACCTCCGATAAACACCTCAACCCTTTCCGAGAATGCATTTCATTTCCGAAATAAAGTCAATACAGGAAGGAAAGTAACAAAAAAAATTACCAGTCATTGGTATTTCAGATGGAAAGAACAGTTCAGAAGGAGGTGGAAAAGGGTTTAAAAAGATAGGTACTGAAAGTTGTGCTGAACAAGAAAAATAAATGAAGAAAAGTCACTATAGGGAGACAACCAAAAAAAGAAAGAAAAACAATTAAATATGTACCTAAATACATTTTATACATAGAGAAAAGTTATCTCGAGAGATGCTGAAAAGTTGCGCGGTTTACACACTGGTATAAACACTATTTTTTGTTGTACCGAGTTTGGTGTTGTTTTCGGACGAAAGAAGCACTTTAAAACAAATGAAAAAAAAAAAAAAGAATTCTCTATGTTTCTTTCCTTTGAACCCTGTGGTCAAAATTTTGTGAAAAAAAAAAAATTGTATGGTACCGAATAAGTAGGTACCTACAATACTATTATTACCATATTACCAATAATTCTCAATCCTGGTAAAATAAAGTATTTTTTAAAAAGTGGCACCATTGTCGGAATTTCACACTATTGTATCATGGAAATGCGCATTGTTGTGTGGTGTGGTGTGTTTAGAGTGGATCTTAGGACTTTGAAGAATGAAAAGTGTGACACATTTAATGACGATATTTCTTTATTGTCATGAGATCCGCAAGTTGATTCTCAGATGAAGCTTTTTCAACTTTTATTCATCTAATACTATAGCTCACGGAGAAGGAGTGTCAGAAGTGAATCTGTTTGGTTCGACGATAGAATTGGATTCGTTGTGAACTTTCAGTACTGAAATTGACTTTAAGTCCAGAATTTCATCAAACAAACGTTTTATCCACCCAATTTCCTTAGCAGCTTCGGTAGCCGCCACTATTTCAGCTTCAGTCGTTTGATATGGCAACTGATGTCTGTCCTTGGCTTAACCACGTGATTGCCCCATCAGCAAACATACTTAAAGCTCCTGGAGTTGAGCGTCCTGTGGTACCTTTTAGGTAACGTAAAAACAACGCACTAACTACATAGGCAATGTTTGGTCGATTGCTTGTCATTAAAAACATGAAGGCCCAACAGCCCAAAGCGGCCAAGACTTTTTCTTGCATAAGCTGTTTGGCTCACTTCTACTGCACCATTTTCAGATTTTCTAATTTCTAAACCCAAAAAATAAGGAGATGGTATTTTCAAATTCTCTTCGTAAACTTTCTAATAAGGAATCCTTCAATTTGTCGTTGGTTGGCGCCAGGAGTCCATCATATAATACATATAATACTACTAAAAGTGTGTCTTCTTCAACTTTCTTTATAGAGAAACAAGGGTCTGTATCTGATCTTCTAAAACCAAGAACTTCTTTGTAAACGGTAAATCTTTGATTCCAACATCAAGACTGCGCTGAAGTTTACAGACTATGTTACTTCCATCTTCATACCCCTCTGCTTGCTTCATATAGACCTATTTGTTTAGTTTACATCGAACTGAGTGTCATATTCATACTAGCAGCAATACTATGCGCTGTGACATAATTGTTCCTCCCTTGGCTATACAGGACTGTAAGTCTGGTCGTATTCTTCATTCTTTCTTTGTGAACAACCTTTGATAACTAGCGGAGCTTTGTACTTGTCAATGCACCCATCTGGCTTGGTTCTCACTTTATACACCCTCCACCCTCTTACATGGTACTGCCTTCTTTCCTGGTGGTAACCTCTTAATCTCCCAATTAC